CCCCAAAACCCCAAAACCCCAAAACCCCATTAAATAAATCTTAGCCAGCGATTAGAGTGAATTTACAAACTTGTTTAATTTATCAAAATTAAATAAAATGAGACTATTAATTGTCAACTGTTTTAGCTCAACTGCAAATCCTAACTTCTAGTCATTTATCAAGGCTATCAAAGAGGTAATTAGCCTTAAAATTTTATTAACACAATAGACTTTTAAAAAAGATAAATTCCTCTCAATTGAAGAGCATCAATTTATTGTTAAGTAAAAAGATTAACTCGCAGAATTTTTATATGAGGGTCCAAATACAAGTTTTTCTGACTTAGACGCAATGAAAGTAACTTATATTATTTTGATTAAGACTTTCTCAATAGAACTTTGATAGATTAGACATGATATTTCTCATTGGAGATTGTATGACCATGCCTTGGTAGGCATCTCTTGGTTAAGTTAGGTAAGTTAATATTAAATGACTTATTATAGATTTTTGTATAAGATGTGCAAAAAAACTAATAAATGTGTATTGGGTACTGCACTTGGATTTAGTATGCTAGTTTACTTTTGTGCTACTGCCCTTGCTGAAGTTTTAGTTATAAACAACAAATAGAAAGGTGGCCCAATGTCATAGCTAGATAAGCTTGCTTATCAAGAATTTTCCAATGAGAAGGATAATGTATTTCTAGATTCACTTACAGGGGACTACTATCAGTACAACTAAGAATAAGCAAAGTGGCTCCCCCAAGGAAATGTTGGTATGCATTATTCAAGAGCCGCTGAATCAATTGATAACTAAGAAAAAGAATACTTAAAGAAAAAGCAAGTCTACTAAAACCATGAATCCAAATATTCTGGTCTCTACGTTTCAAAGATATCTGAGTCTAAATGCTGTATAAAAAAGCAATTTATAAATCACTGGATATTTGAGGGTGTTTAGCAGTAGTTTTTGGCTGATAACAGATTTACTTGGGATACTCATCCTGCAAAAATCACAAATTTGCACATTGTAAAATAAAACTATGATATTTTAGCAGAATCAGAAAGAAGTCCTATCATAATAGAGCACTTTAATACTCTGTCATGCTAGTTTTACATCCATCATCAATATCCAGACTCTTTAAAGATACTTCAAAATTACATTAAAAAGAAGATTACAGATATCTAGAGTTATGGTAGAATTGATATAACACTTGAAGATGCGATTTAGAAATAAAAATTGCAATAATTTTAAACAGTTAAATATGCTGACGAATCTAGACATAAGCATAGACCTTTGATAAATACATTAGATATAATAGCAAATAACACACAGCCACGATGTATGACAGCAAAATCTGGCACTAGAAGCTAGCTATTTAGCCAAGACTTAATTAATAACTAATAGAACTAAAATAAAAATATAATCGTAGTAAAAAACAATGCTGTATCTTAAGATCCTTTAACACCGACATAAAATTAAATTCAAAACATGAAGAGTTTGATCATTAAAGATTCTATACACCACGGCACAGTCATCCTAGGACCTGCTACACTAACAAAATAAAGTTCCTAAAATCACTCTGCAAATATTTTACTCAAAAGACATATATAAAATTCAAATAGGAAGAATACTGCACATTTAGTCATAACCGACTAATAGGGTGCTAAGTCTGATTAAGACAGCAACAGTCCAAAAACTAAATTAAATCAATATAGCAAATATACTAATCTATTAAAAAAAGATAATTCTCAATAGTAGCTAATGTTTAGTGGCTTTAATAACTCTGACTTAAATTTTTATGGCCACTCTCAGAGTTAGTAATGCTTGAAATAAGATGATGAAGCCAATAAGTATGAAAAACCTAGTAATTGGGAAGTAGATTGTAAATAAATGATTTAAATTATAAACTTAATATAGCAATGTATCGCAAAACACTAAGGCAAGATTTAAATTCAGTCTGGAAGAAACGCAGAGATATCAGAGAGACTCTACATCCAACGCTTGATAAAAATCATTTACCTAAAAACCCAAATAATCCTCTAAAAGTATAAAATTTATTGCTTTAATTCTTAAAGATGTTTATTGATATTCATAATCAAAGCTCATAGAGTAATAAGCTTTAATTGTCAAACAAACCATTTAACAGGTTCAAAGATTTCTAAAAGATGCCTCAGAATAACTTTGACATTGTAAAATTATTTCCTATTTAATTAGATATTTCTAGCCTGTAATTAGAAATTCCTCTCCCTATATTTCAGAATAGTAACTAAGATTAAAAAAAGACTAATAAGATAAGTAATACTGGGTTACTCCTGGAAAGGAGTTTGCAGCATTTTTCGATAAAGCCACTTTAAACAATCAGGAATACATCTAAAACTATGTTACACGGGATCCCTCTTAAAGTCCCTTTTTGCACAAGTTTAGAGAAGAAAAAAAGCGTAAATGGATTAGCAGCGCTCTAAAATTCTGATAATTGGCGAAGCACTTTTCTTTTAATTTCATTATTTATTGATAATACTTTTTACTTTTATTGAGTTCCTTGAGGGGTTTTGGGGTTTTGGGGTTTTGGGG